CTAAACACCAGTTACTCCCGCGTGTCAGTCACTCATTCCAGAAACTTCGGAGGGAACACTGCATAGACACAGCTCCAGAGCCACTGCAAGGGCTGGATGGCACAGAAAGTATAAACCTGTAGGAGTCAGTGGAGGAGAGACTGCTGCCTGGGCTGTGGGAGGACGTCCAACAGGAAGCTGTGCCAGGTAGCAGGCGCAGCACAAAAAGAGGCAGTCAGGTACAAGCACGGTCATCGAAACTTAAAGTCAATTTTCTTTTCCCTCCGTCTTTTTATTGAATACATCAAATTTCCCATGAAATTTTGTAGACCTTTTCACAGAAGATAAAAATTTTAAACCAGTAAAACTTGGAAACCATCAAAAAAAAAAAAACAAGCCATGCAAGACCCAGCCACCACTATAAGCAATGATGGGACCTGACCCTCTGGAGGCAGTGGGAGCACTGGGACCTGATCCTGCTGGAGGCAGTGGGAGCACCGGGACCTGACCCTGCTGGAAGCAGTGGGAGCACTGGGACCTGACCCTGCTGGAGGCAGTGGGAGCACCGGGACCTGACCCTGCTGGAGGCAGTGGGAGCACCGGGACCTGACCCTGCTGGAGGCAGTGGGAGCACCGGGACCTGACCCTGCTGGAGGCAGTGGGAGCACCGGGACCTGACCCTGCTGGAGGCAGTGGGAGCACCGGGACCTGACCCTGCTGGAGGCAGTGGGAGCACCGGGACCTGACCCTGCTGGAGGCAGTGGGAGCACCGGGACCTGACCCTGCTGGAGGCAGTGGGAGCACCGGGACCTGACCCTGCTGGAGGCAGTGGGAGCACCGGGACCTGACCCTGCTGGAGGCAGTGGGAGCACCGGGACCTGACCCTGCTGGAGGCAGTGGGAGCACCGGGACCTGACCCTGCTGGAGGCAGTGGGAGCACTGGGACCTGACCCTGCTGGAGGCAGTGGGAGCACTGGGACCTGACCCTGCTGGAGGCAGTGGGAGCACTGGGACCTGACCCTGCTGGAGGCAGTGGGAGCACTGGGACCAGAGCTGCTGGAGGCAGTGGGAGCACTGGGACCAGAGCTGCTGGAGGCAGTGGGAGCACTGGGACCTGACCCTGCTGGAGGCAGTGGGAGCACTGGGACCTGACCCTGCTGGAGGCAGTGGGAGCACTGGGACCTGACCCTGCTGGAGGCAGTGGGAGCACTGGGACCTGACCCTGCTGGAGGCAGTGGGAGCACCGGGACCTGACCCTGCTGGAGGCAGTGGGAGCACCGGGACCTGACCCTGCTGGAGGCAGTGGGAGCACCGGGACCAGAGCTGCTGGAGGCAGTGGGAGCACCGGGACCTGACCCTGCTGGAGGCAGTGGGAGCACTGGGACCTGACCCTGCTGGAGGCAGTGGGAGCACTGGGACCTGACCCTGCTGGAGGCAGTGGGAGCACTGGGACCAGAGCTGCTGGAGGCAGTGGGAGCACCGGGACCTGACCCTGCTGGAGGCAGTGGGAGCACTGGGACCTGACCCTGCTGGAGGCAGTGGGAGCACCGGGACCTGACCCTGCTGGAGGCAGTGGGAGCACTGGGACCTGACCCTGCTGGAGGCAGTGGGAGCACTGGGACCTGACCCTGCTGGAGGCAGTGGGAGCACTGGGACCCAGCTACCGGTGACAGCCGCACAACATCGCTTACATCACCACTGCTGATCACAAATTCAGGTTTGTTGAAAGTTGCAAAGTTTACATTATATGTAAAGGCACTTCTGAAAGTTCAGGGAAAGTGAATTGAAAATATGAGGTTTTTTAGTGTAAAAATTTGGAAACCTGTGCAGTTTGTACATAACACACATTATCCTTGAACTTCTCTAAAATCCTCATGCCTCAAAATTTTTGCACCAGAAGAAACATATTTTCAATTGTCTCCATAAACTTTTTCAAATATCTTCCTGTCTTTATATAGGTTCAAAAAAAGTGATAAAAAAATTTGTAATCAAATATTGTAAGCTTGTATTTTTAAAATAATGCTCACAATAATATACGTACTCTTAAAACTTTGCAAAGCAGTTAGCATTTTACTCTAGGAAGGACACACGTGACAATCAGAACCAACAACTCTGCACCTTAAGGATTCATCATCTGCTTCAGGTAAGCTCAGGCCAGCAGGAAGAGACCTGCAACATTCAACAGTCAATAGCAACAGATGTCACGGATGGGAGATGAGGACCAGGTGCACAGTTGCTATGGAGAGCAGGTACAGCTCACGGAGGCCTAGGGTTCAGAAAGGGTTAACTGGACACTCGTTCTCCACTGCTCCTGTTACTATTCTGAACCCTCAAACACAAAGGTGGGGACCAACACCAGGGCACAGCAGGGCACAGCATGCCGAGTGCACACAGGTTCTCCTGGCTGCTCGTGCACCTGGGAAGGCACCAAGGGATGGCTCAAATACATGGTCTTTCCCACCATACGGGAGATGTGTGTGGGGTGCCAGGCTCCCGGCTGTGGCCTATACCAACCCAACTGGTAAACTACCAGATGGACACTCTCTCTCTTCCTCATTCTCTTTCTCTCTCTCATTCTGCTTTTCAAATAAATAAATAATTTTTTAAATGCCAGCCACTACAGGTTAGGGACATGCAATCTTCTGGGGGGTTTCACACCCACTACATCCTCTTCAGGTCCTGCTGGCAGCAGCAAGGACAGGGACAGGTGGACCTGATGGAGCTCTCGCTAGGGTGGCAGAGCACACAGCTCTGGGGCAGCAAAGGCAACCTCTGGAAACAGACTGTCAGACCCAACACAGTGACTCTCCTGGGAAGTTATACACAGCATCCCGGCTCACTGGGGACATGCCAGCCCTCAGCATTATTCAAGCCTGAGTTCAAATCCAACATCCACCCCTTCCTGTGACCCTGATCAGCTGCACAGTCCATTCTGACTTCTCAAATCTCCCTTTTATTGACACCTGCATTAGGGAGTGAATGAGACGGCCCGCCAAGGCCTGGCGCATGGCACCACTCCCTCCAACACCCCCAGACCTGAGTGGATGAGCAGTACTTGGGCAAGAGAATGGAGGTTTGGTTATTGCCCAGCATTCTCTGATCCCAAAAGCTTAATTATTAACCCATATATCTAAAGACTGAGAGCTTGGGCTTGCTATCATCTTAGCAATATCACTTGCATTTAGAGAAACATCTAGACTCACTCTAAGAAACTGAGCATGCCACTGGCTGGTACCAAGTGACCAACGTGCATGAATGCTCCCAGGGGTCTGTGGGGATGTCCACTGCAAGCAATCTTCCCTGAAGCACAGATGACAAATTCAATGACCAACCTACACAAGACAGCATAAACTCCATGCAGCCAAAATACCCATGCCGGATGTCCATTAAAACATGCATGCTGGGCAGGTGCAAAGGTTCAATTGTCTAATCCTCTGCCTCCAAGCACCAGCATCCCGTATGGTGGCTGGATGGTGTCCCAGCTGCTCCACTTCCCGTCCAGCTCCCTAGTTAATGGCCTGGAAAATCTATGCAGGTGACCCAATAGAAGTTCCTGGTTCCTGGCTTCAGGTAGGCTCAGCTCTAGATGCTGCAGCCATTTGTGGAGTGAACCAGCAGATGGAAGATTATGCTCTCTGTCTCTCTTACTCTGCCTTTTCAATGAAAATAAATAATAAGTAAGTAAATTAATTAATAGTGCACGTGCAGCCCTTCTGCCCTCTTGGCCAAGGTTCTGGGACCAGGGACTTCGTCGCCTCTCCCTGCTGGGTCACAATTTCACTCCCTGTCACCATCTTCGCCCCAGTCTGACATCATCTAACCATATGGGCACCAAGAGCAGTGAGCTGCCATCAAGGCAAACCTGTGAACAATGCCAGGGAAGCAAGGACCAAGCATTGCCCTGAGTCCTGGCCATTTCACATCATCAGCTCCTTGGGTGCTTTTAAAAACCTGAGCTAACTTCCTGAGGACTCAGTGCCTTCCTGGCAGGAAGTCAAGGACAGCCACAAGTGGAATGCGCTTCTCCTGTCTGAGGACAGAAAGGGTGGCTGCCAAGGCTGTGGTGGTTACACCCAGGGTTACGGGCACCTGCAGCCCCTGTTGCAGGTCAGGCTGTAAATCCCATCTACCACACAACCTCCTGCCTGAGGCCCAATGTCTGAAAACCAAGAAACCACCTTTGAAAAGTCTGGAGATCAAATGTTGAAAATATATTCCACCAACTCCATTTCTTAGCTGCCCAACCATTATGCTGATGTGACATTAGGGCCATTCCTAATGGCACCTGGGGCCAGGGAGGCAATGAGGACTAGCACTGGATTGCCCCGGCCAGCCCACATGCCACCTGCAGAACCCTGGCACTCCAACACTCAGAGCTCTTTACAAGCGGATCCACCCACACCACTGCTGACTGGGATGCCCACTAAAAGTACCTCTACAGATGTGCTGAGAAGACATTCCCACATCTGCAACTGTGACTGCAGGGAGAGGTAACAAGGAGACACTAGAACGGCCCAAGAGGCCCCGGCATGGTAGCCTAGTGGCTGAAGTCCTCACCTTGAATGTACCAAGATCCCATATGGGAGCTGCTTCTAATCCTGGCAGCCCCGCTTCCCAGCCAGCTCCCTGTTTGTGGCCTGGGAAAGCAGTCGAGGATGGCCCAAAGTCCTGGGACCCTGTACCCACGTGGAAGACCCAGAAGAGGTTCCTGACTTTGGATCGGTGCAGCTCTGGCTGTTGCAGCCACTTGGGGAGTGAATCAACAAATGGGAGATGTTCCTCTCTGTCTCTCCTCCTCTCGGTATATATGACTTTCCAATAAAATAAATAAACTTTAAAAAAAAATGGCCCAGGAACTTACTGGCTCAGGGAGCCTGGCTGTCGAACACTCTGAGCTTCCTTGGGTCTGAGCCAACTTGAGTCACAGATCCTTTGGCCCTTGAACATGAGCTCTATTCACAAGTCCAGTAATAAGAGAAGCCTTACTGCTGAACCACAAAAACCAAATTACATGAACTCACCACATTGCCTTCAAAGTCAGGACTGGTAACTTGCGTCTCTTCATCTTCCTTGACTATTTCAGCTGGAACCTACGGAGATAAGACACCAGGTTTCCACTTAGGTGTACTCAACCCAATTGTTGAACACTTCAGAGACTGCGTGAAATAGTGTGGGTGACCAGCGGCAGGGAGGGTAACCGCCATCTGTCTGAAACAGCAGTATCTCTTCCATATTCAGTTTTGTTGACAAAATGCCACCTGCCCAAGACAGCTGTTGGGGTCACCTTTAGGAAGGCCATGGATGTTTTCACATGGACAGGATGACACAGTTGCCTCAGACGCCTGTGCTCAGCAGGGGACAGGTGCCTCCCTGGTTCTTGGTGTACCCACAAGGCTCCCAACCCAGGGGCAGGTCCCTGTGCTGGAGACAATCTCACAGCCCTGGGGGCTCTCGCTCCATTCACACCTTCAGTGTGCACAGCTCACAGAAGCACCGACCCATCCTAGTGGCATCCGGTCGCCTCTCTCCCTCCTGGAGAGAATCATGTTCAGCATGGACTGACATGGCCACGTGCACATGGAGCATGTTCAACACAGACTGAGAAGAGTCGAGGAAACCTGCCAGTGGCAGCCTGCTCCTCCCACTTCACAACCACCCACAGGGAAGAAGTGGGGAGTTGTGCACCAGCTTTTCCAACCTGTGCTGAGAAGCACCAGCCATGGAAAGCTGGGCAGCACAGCCACCCTGGGCTAAGGCTGGTGGAGAAACACACCATCACTGTGTGACCAAGCAGAAAGGACTGCCCTTGGCAAAGAGCACGGTGGACCTAAGAACGTGCGAGCGGACCCCATGGCAATGCAGATGTATCGAAATGTGCTCTCCCCGGGCTCCCTTCAACTTTCTGAAAATTCAGATCTAGCTACAGGAGCATCATTCCTACCACAGACAAGAAACTGTGACAAGGAGCACTCAAGGAGCACTCAAACCCTCAAGGAGCACTCAACCCACACAAAAGTAAGCTTTTCCAAAAACATACATGATTTAAAACATTGATACCATGCTGATCATCAGTTCATCTGTTTATTTGAAAATAAAGAGGAGACCTGTCCATTGAATCCCACAGTGTAGGGAGATGCCAGTGATTGTGGAACAAAGAAGCATGGTCACCAAGCAATTCAAAGTCTGAAGGGGAAGACAAGGGTTAACTAGATAATCAGACAGCCAGCAAGGAACGCAGTCGCAGTAGGCACTACCGGAAGAGGCGCACAGAGCGAAAAGAATCATATAGGGAGACTCAACCAACACAGGACAACAGCAAGTCCTCCCCCAGTAGGTGACCGTTCATTTGAACAGAACAGTGTGGGTCAATGATCTAGACAATGGGAACAGAGGGAACAAGCTTGGCAGCAGGGGACACCAAGTCCCAGGAAGGTGGGGGCAGGGGAGGGCCAAAGTGCTTAAAGCAAGAGCCAAGAAGGGTTGACAAGGCCACCTGGAACAAGTGGTGAGGACACAGGCAGAGGTGTGGGCAGAGCCCAGACACAGGACAGAGCTTGAGAGGAGCCAGACATGGGTGGGCTGAGGGCGATCGGTTCAGGGGCATCACAGAGGGTTACTCTCAGCTGCCTGAGTAGACAGATGTCACTCACCAAGACAGAACACGCCCCGAGTGAGAGCTGCAGACGCATGTGGGACCACAGCTGGGACACGGGAAGACAACGGGATGGTGGTGGAAGCACAGCCTCTTACATGGATGCCATGGTAACGTGGGACTTCACGTTATCCAAGGAGAACAGGTGCCCATACCCTGATCCTGCTGAACCCCGATGGTTAGCAGACAGGTGGGAGGTGAGCAGCCTGCCAAGGAGGAGAGAGACAGAGAGAGGCGGAGTGCCGGGAAACCAGTGCTTCTTGTCAAAGGAGGGAAGTATCTCAAGGACGAGAGGTTGAAGGTGACGGTGGCAAGTGATGAGGCTTAACAAACCAGGAAGACTCAAGTGTGGCGAGGTGGAGTGTGGGAGCAAGACAGTGACTCTGAGGAGTCAGGACCTGATGCCCAGGAGCAGTTGGGCACTTTCATCAGTGGTGAAATGCTCACACTGAGAGCCACCCACCTGCGCTCACCCTGCACCCTCTGCAGGCCCAGAGGCGTGGGGAGGACAAGGCAGCGGGTCCAGAGGCGGTGGGGAGGACAAGGCAGCGGGCCCAGAGGCGTGGGGAGGACAAGGCAGCCTTCTGGGGGATTTCTTGCTGTGTAAAGAAAGCCCAGGCTACGAATGGTCCTTCGGTGCCTGGTCAGCACTCACACGTCCTGGAGGGTCCTCCAGATCCTCAGGACTCATGAACACAGCCTGGATCAAAGATGGGGGCACTGAGGATGGCAGGAGGGGTGATGGAAAGAAGTGCAGTGCCCACGACACCCTGGACGCTTCCCTCACCAGAGGCCTCCACCTTCTACTATGCCTTTGCTGTTGAAGGCACATACAGAAACAGAAGCTCGTGGTAGTTTTAAATTCACTCATTAAAGCAGATACCCCCAGGCCTCAGGTAACTTAGTCTGAGCTGCTCCACACACCCAAAAGGACCCTGCTTGGCAATGCATACTCCATGCAGACTCTTCACAAATCACACAAAGCTAGCATGAACTTCTCCAATCAGTCTGACTCCCAGGAAGCCACCCCCACTAACAGAAGACCTTGCTGTGCAGCCATACTCCTGACCCTCCTTGCCATCCAATGAAGCTACACGAAGTTCCTGAACAGACTTTCAGAAGCCAGGACAGGAGTGGGCATTTAGTGCCTAGAGTGCTGCTTAATACACCTACATTCCCATTAGAGTGCCAGACTCCGTTCCAGCTCTGGATCCTGATCCCAGCTTCCTACCAGTGTAGGCCCTGGGAGACTGCAGGAAAATCTAAAGTAATTGAGTTTCCAACTCCTGAATTCCCAGCTCCTGGCTTCACCCAGCCCAGTCCCAATCATGGCAGGCATTTTGAAAGTGAACCAACTGGAAGAATACTCTCCCAGTATCCCTCGAACAAACGAATTATCATACATATTAGTATAGGTATGAATAGTGGGAGAGCATCACGAAACACGACAGCCACAGAATCAAAGTCTTGGCCACTGACACAAAGGCGGCAGAGCGAGCACAGCATCCACAGCCCAGCAAGGGCAGTGCGTCCCAGACAGGACCCAACACAGGGAACCTTGTCAATGGTACAGGATGCAGGCTGAGCACCAATGCCTCAGCTGGCTGTACCATGCGTCTGCTCACTACACCACAGTGACTCTCTGCACCAGCAGCCCCTGCCACGCATCAGATCACAGCACAGAGACACCAGGTAAACCCAGACAAGTCTTAGAGGGCCAAGCAGGAAGCTTCCCCCCAACACCCAACACTGAGTGTTCTCAGCCCTGTGGGAGGCACAGCCCTTGAGACCATACCATACTGTGGGACTCCAGATCAAGCCCTTGGGAGGTCTGCAGGCCCAGAAAGTCAGTCCTCGTGGGGAGTCTGTGCATCTTCAGGGCATAGACCTTGGTGAGAACTGCCACCAGGCAATGGAAGAGGTTCCCTTCAGTGAGACGTCACCCTGTCCGGCCAGCACAGGGAACAGAAAAGATGCCTGAACAGAGCTCTTCCGAAGAGCCTCCCCTTGCCTCTAACTGTCCACCTTGCCAGGCCTGGGAGCCTCTCCTTGCCTCTAACTGTCCACCTTGCCAGGCCTGGCTCTTCTTCCTCCAACAGTCCCTCAGGGATAGCGCCAAGGGCACCACTGAATGCTTCTCTGACTTCCAAGATACTGGAAATCAAATACCCTAGTGGCTGACACTGGTATATATGTAACACAAATTGTTACAAAGATACCATCTGTTACAATAAGATCACTTCTGCGTTGAAAACTTACACAATGATTATGTCAACTAAAACAAAAATGGGGCCTGGCGCAATAGTGTGTTGGTTAAAGTCCTCACCTTGCATGCACCAGGATTCCATATGGGAGCTGGTTCTAATCCTGGCGGCCCCATTTCCCATCCAGCTCCCTGCCTGTGGCCTGGGAAAGCAGTCAAGGATAGTCCAAAGCTTTGGGACACTGCACCCATGTGGGAGACCTGGAAGAAGCTCCTGCCTCCTAGCTTCAGATTGGCTCAGCTCCAGCCATTGCAGCCGCTTGGGGAGTGAACCATCAGATGGAAGATTTTCCTCTCTATCTCTCCTCCTCTCTGTATATCTGCCATTCTGATAAAAATATATAAATCTTTTAAAAATGCGTGACAGTCATGTTCAACCTACCACCCAGAATACAGAATATGTCAATAACAAGAATATTTCATGAAAGTAACTTTAAGAAGGTCTTGGCCACAACTGTTAAGATGCCACAAGAACTGCAAATAAACCTGCCTTATGACCTAGCTATCCCATTCCTAGGAATATACACAAAAGAAATGAAAACTGCATATGAGAAGGGGACCTGAAATCCTGTATTTACAGCAGAACAACCTACAATAGCAAAGACATGGAGACAATCCAGATTCCCAACCAAAGAGGAGTGAATAAAGAAACTGTGGTATATCTACTCCATGGAATATTACTCAGCCATTAAAAAGATTGAAATCATACCATTTGCAACTAGGTGGTCCCAAGTAGAGACCATTCTGCTCAGTGAAATAAGTCGATCCCTCAAGGACAGATTCCATATTGTCTCTCTAATATAGTGAAACCATCACGCAAATTCGGTGTGTTTTCTTACCCATGCGTTGGTTATTCAGTCGTGCGCGTTTTGACTCCATGGTGCTATCACCTTGTGTTGGTGGTATTGTCTTGACTTCATGCCAGTTGTTGAATTTGTTCCATGGCTTCTCATTAAAGGGAATGTATGGTGATGGAGTGACAGAGACCAATGTATGGTGATGGAGTGACAGAGACCAATGTATGGTGATGGAGTGACACAGACTACCACATCCAGATGTGAAGACACACTGCAACATGCAGCCCTACTTCCAAATCAGAGACGGACTCCCAATGAAACTGTTGGAAATGTGTAGACAATGGGACGCTGGACTGACACTGTCTGTACCAACAATGT